AAACTCAGGTCCTGAAATGGTGTGTGGTAGTAAAGAAAAATATTTATAAAAGAAGAGATTGGTGGCATAGCAGTGGCTGGGTGCTGATAATCATTCTATAGACTGAATAATACTTCACAGCTCTAAAAAAAAATACTTTCTAATACTAGGATATTTTTCTTTAAATAGTGATTGTTAGACCTATTAAAAGTGGATCTGGTTGCAATAAATCACTGAGTATCTGAAAGCTTATGCTTATCTTTACATGTTTCCAGCTCTTCTTGTTTAGAAAAAAATACTGAATGTGATATTTTACAGTGCACTTCTAATTTAAAAGAGTAATAGATTAAAAACATCACCAGAAGAGAGTGTTTGTCCTCTGGAATGGTTTACACATTAGTGAACATAAAATATATAGCTTAATTCTAGCTGTATAGGTATTTTAAGAAACCTAAGCTGTTATTTGAAAACAAAATCACACCATTCCGCCTTTTTCATAGCCGTTGAATTTCAGGTAGCATAAAGGAGATGGAAACAAACATCTGTGAGTCTCAAAAAGACAGCAGGAAAAAATTAATGGCATATTCTGGCCTGAACCATGGCTGAGTGCTATTCTGATCCTTGTTCCTCCTCAGCAGAGTTCTGCAGGGCTCTGAGCACAGATATAGAAAGCTATGTCCGGACCTGTGAATTCCTAGACCAGGAGCTACTTGTAAATTCTTGAAAGAGAATCATGCTGACTTTCAGCGCAAAGTGTTTGTAAATGTTTCACAACTGTTAGTTCTATTAAAGCATTACCTCTGGAACCATGAAAAAGAGTAAGGAATTTCTTATGGCCAACACATATAGACTCTCATTTCTATGTGCTTACACAGTTGTCATCTGCTGGAGGTACTGATCTATCTGAAAGGAGTTGGCATTGTGTATAATACATGACATAGAATGAGTGGAATACTCTTTTAAAATTAATGTTAGCTCATATCTGGAACTCTGTTTCCAGGTTTCTGATATTATTTCAATAATGTTTTACAAATGCATTTTTAAAGTTTTTTTACATAAATCTCATTGAGAAATTAGGTGTGGTTTTAGTTTTCTCCCCAGCCCCAGCCCCCAGATCACACCCTTGGATTGGAAGGAATTAGGCGTTCTTCACATTCTTTCTAAAAATCTTTTACAAATTCATTCCTTTAAATGGATTTTAGTTAGCAATGTTTACCTCATAAAACAAGTGCTTTGTATCCTCTGAAGACTAATTTACACAAAAATTTACATATCTGCCTACAGTTCTCTGTGCAGTAAGATACTGCGTGGTATAAATAAGTATACCTTAATAAGAGCTGTGCTTTCCATTTCTGAAAATTTTTTATAACCTTGAATTTTGAAAGTCTGTATGACTTTACAGACATAATCCCTACAGATAGGAACTATTACCTTTGTTTTTTCTTTTCATCTTGTTTCAAAATACCTTAAGTTTTAAAAAGGCCTCCAGGTTTTTTTATAAAAGGAAGACACAGTCACACAGATACACACATGCATGCACCTACACACACACACACACTTTGATTTTACATGGACTGTCCTACAGAATCTGATTTGTTGAAGCCCTTAAGGTTTATCTCAAAAGTGCATTGAATACATTCCAAGGATCAAAAGATCTGGAATCTGAATATTGTTATTCTCCTCTTACAATTTTTAAAGAAGAGAAAGCATTCTCCTGTAATAGAAACAGTGGATGTTTCAAGGTCAGGTGGCCATCGCTAGCCTACCTTCTCTTTATCAGCAGTTTGTGGTTAAACAGAGGAATTAAACATCCTTTTTTCCCCTGGAAAATATATGATTATTTTTTCTTCATTTAGCTTGGCATAACTAAATTGGCTTTTCAGTTTTATATGGTTACATATACAAAAGAATGTAAGAAATCTAATTCATTAGTTACTAACATAACTGAATCTGTCAGCTTTGAATACTATGTTATTTTAGAACACTATCTAATCTACTAGTTGTAGACTAAGAATGCTTTTATGTTGTCAGTATTTTGGTTAATTTAATAATTTTAAATAATTTTTTAATACATGGTCCAATTTACTAGATTGTTATTCAGATTCCTCAGTAGTTATTCCTTTTCCTCTTCTTTGACGGGAGGAAACACAAGAAGAGTTTATTATTCAGTGTGCCTTCAGTTCTGTACTATTCAAGTTCTGCTCTCTCCATTTATGATATCAAAAATTCTTGGCTGATTTAGGAGCTGTTTATACATGTATTCCCAGTTACATTCCATTACCTAAAATGCATTGATAACAAAAAGACCTTCTTACAAAATTACCAGTGTCACCTTGATTTCCACAGGTGTTATTTAACAGTGATTGTACTTTTCCAGTTTTATTGTAGAACAAATTGCTCATGATCTCTGATGACATGCAGCTGCTAATGCAGGTGCATTTATAACACAGCCTAAGGTAATACAATGAATATTTGAAGCAATAAATCTCATTTTGATTTCTGTAAGAAGGATAACGTCAGCTCTTTTTCCTGTCCTTCATCTCTTCATCAGTCAAAAAAAATTTAAAAATGCAATTATTTCAAAGGCACTTTAAATAAGAAAAGGAAATAGAGAAAAAAAAGGAGGTGACAGGTGACAATGACATCAGAATGAGAAAATACAGCAAATATTGTAACCAATATTTGAAAGGTGGAGTATTCTAGACTTGCTTTATCTTTTGAGATTCTCCTAGGTGAGTCTATTATATGATTTTCCAATAGCATTTGGAAAGTAATCCAAACAATCTTTTATCTTAGCTAGTACTGATTGGTTACTAATGTTTGAACAACTAATTTTTGTCATACATGGTGATGTCTTCTCTGGTCATGTCGGGGGAGCTGAAGGAAGAGTCAATACCAGAAATCAGGGATTTCAGTGGCATTGACAAGTAGGTGCAAGATGGCTCAGTTTTAGTGTTCGGGAGGGCTCTATGGTCAGTTCACTGACATTGGCCTTTAGCAGCACAGACAATGACAGTAAACATGTTCTGAGAGAAAATGCTAATTGGCATGTCTGGTTCAATTACCCTCTTGGTTTCCTAGTGTAGAACTTCCCCGGAGCATTGAAAATGCCCTTCACTGCAGACTGTTGCACAAAATGAGGCTGACACACAACGCAGCTGAGGCTACAAATGCACAATCAGTTTGTTATAAATGTCTTGCTCATTCTTATTCTAAGTAAATCAAAAAGCACTGAATGGTTTTGAATAATTTTGTAACATGCTTTAAGAAAAATTTTCATTGTTAATCACCTTTCTAGTCAAAATCACACTATTTTAGTCCTGAGAACTAAGGATGGGTAGGGAATAGCGCAGTGTGGCCTTTCCATCACAAAGCATTGCAGAAGCCCTCTCAGTGCACAGCGACTGACATCAGAACATCTTCCTTTGACTCCTCTCTCAGGAAGTAGTTGCTTTGGTGGTTTTTAACTTCAATCATACATCAAGAAAAATCTAATGCCATGTACCTCATTAAATTAATATTCAGTAAAGGCTGACTATATTAATGAAACTTTGAATATTTATTCTCTTTTTTTAAAGATTTTTGTTTCTTTTTAAAGGGGATATATGAAAATTAAAGTCAATAAACTCATTATGATATGAAGATATTCTTTTTCAAAGAATCATCTTTTATGTACCTTAGTTTTGGGGGTTTTTTTATTTATATGAGCTTTTAAAGATACTTGGGATGGTGTATTTTACAGAAGAGTCCTTATAATATAATTTAAGGAGCAGATTAAAGGAATTGATTTCTACAGTGGGACTAATCTCAGTTAACATTAACTTTCTCCAGTTTTTCACTCTCAGTTTATTATCCAAGTTCCCAATACATTCAACAGAATTCTAAAAATCACCTTCAAATAGCAAGGCTTTTCTGCTACAGATATTACCTTTGTGTATTGTTTTCCTTAGATCTGGGTTTTCTGATAAGAAGGCATCTCACAGGGTTCTACCATGTCCCTGGGTCAAGGTGGTCTCATTATGCTGTAGTGCACACTCACCAGGTTAATGGCATCGACTTGAGTTAAAGATTTGTCTCAGTATAGAGAAGTCCACAGACAAAAATTCATCATTTGGCACACCAAATACAAGACACTATATGTGTTTACAGATTACTTATATGGTTAAAAAAATCCTGGTGAAAAATATAAAAGGTCAGAGATGCTCTACTTGGAGTACTTCAGACTTAAGGAAATTTATTAGGGAGCATCCCTCTAGTATATTTTGTTAGGATAAACAAAAGAGGTTCCTCCATTTCATATCTTATGTTTAGGTGGTATTTTGTCTTCCTATGATTTACAAACATTTCATTCACTCTCTTTATTTTGCTGTTAGGTAACTGATAAACAGAAAGGATAAACTGTGGTAAAGATTTAAGAATTAGTCTGTGACAGATCTCAATGGCAATTATTCATCTAAATATCTTTGAGGATCTGGGCCTCACCATTTCATTGTTTGTAATTCTCTGTTCTGACATTACTTTAAAGTTATCTGATTGTTGTTCACTGCTGAGGCTCCTGAATGTTAGTCTCTTAAACAATAACAAAGATGTGTCTAATCCTCACAATCTGTTATTGGAGATACACCAGGACTACTTTGCCATTTCAGCAATTGCAGTTGAATTCTGAAGTGTTTCCGTTTGGGTGAGCTACTGATAATTGTCTGTTAAATAGAAACCTCTGAAAAAGAGGTAACAAACCTCTCCATTTTTAAGAGTGCTATGAAGCTGTAAATAGAGGCACTGTTACTGTCAGTTATGATATTGGAGTTAAAATAAGAGCGAAAAATACAGTGCTATCCTAAGATAATGCAATACATTTCCTATATGGCACAGCTTGATACAAAATGAGGAGCAGAGCAGTGAGAGACCTATTGAAAAAGCTGCTAAGAGAGAAACATGCAATGGTAAGCGGGAAAAGCACTATTAAGCCATGTGAGAAAAGCAGTGCAATGCATTATAGTATGAAGTGGTTGCTTACTTACATGTACAGCTATGTTGTTATACCATCAGTAGAGAAGAAGGAAGATTCATGGTCTTGTTTTCTTATCTTCATGTAACTGGTAAAAGTTGTGTGTATTAGATAAAATAGTTAAAACCACAGACAGCAGAATTTAAGATTTTCAAGCTGGAATCAGGACAGCTGAAGTGGTAAAAGAGTGTAAGATCATAATAATTACTGTGTTTTCTCTCTTGTCAATATTATTTTTTTACCAGTCTTTTTTTTTTTCCCATTTTACTCATTTAAAACCTACAATATATTTCTAGTTGATAGAATTTAATGGTCACGATATATGCAGAGAATTAGATTAAAAGGTACTAGGTTTTTGGTGTAAATTCTGCAATGATCAGAAGCTCGGATTTAGCAAAGAATGTTCTTCCAAATGCCAAGTACTGTAAAATATCTATTGAATCCTTTTTATTTTTTTTCAATATTTCCAGTAATTGTGTTTCCAATACACAATTACTTTGTGGATAGAAATTGATTTCTGAGCTTTGACTATCTCACCAAATAAATTCACAAAAATAAACATTGGAAATATATTTGAAGAAATTTTCCTAGAAATATTTTAATTCATGAAAAATGAAAAAAAAACAACCCACATGTATGGCAAGATTTTGATTTTCTTTTTCAAGAGTATTCAGTATCTGGAGTCTGAAGAAGGAAAGCTGGATTCATATGACCAACTGTAGCTTTTTAGGGAGACTCAATAATAACATATGTATATTCATAAGGAAAAACATTCATTCAATTCATCAGGAGGATGGTAATTACCTCAGTATGCAGATTTTTGCAAAATCTTATTCAGTCACAAATTACCTTTGTCTATATTTAGCTCAGATATGATAAATCCACTGAGCTTACACATTTAAATAACATTTGGAAAAAAAATAAGCTTTCAATAGGCAATTAAACAAAAGGACTACAATTATCACCATGTATATGACCAAGGCAGATATAAAGTTAATAAAAATAATTCTGGTGAGATGTATCACCCTTTAATATTATTTCTGATTGCTATAGCAATTAATGTCCCAAATCTGTACACTCTCAATGTAGTTTTCTATGAAAATCTCTAAAACTATGTAGGTGTTTCCTTTTTCCATTATTTTTTTCATTTTTTTTAACGCCACTATTTCATATTTAAGGAACTGAATTTCTGTGAATATTTAGGAAAATTAAAATCTGAATCCAATTTTGAAAAAAGACTTTTAATTGCATAAGAAAACATTTTTTTTATGATTCACTAAAGTCTCACTTGAGCTAGTTATTATGGGGACTGAAAGTAGTTCAGCTGTGCTAAAAAGAAACTAGAATAAGTGACCTACTCAAACATTTTCTCACTTTCTTGAGTAGATTTTGTAGTAGTGACTATTGTGAAGACACAAGCTGCAAGCGCTTTTTAAAGCCTGTTTAGCTTTTTCAGGTGTCTTTGAAAAATTGGTGCTGAACTGTGTTTTAACACAATTTGTTCAGAATTCCAGATACAAAGAGCAGCTAACAGTTGTACACTGCACATTTCATATGTTTTAATTAAAACATTTTCATGAGGATGTAGGTGCTTTACTACAATAAATCTTGGAAAGAAATATTATTAATAACTTAGAAAAACAGTAAACTTAACTAACACAGTTATTCCAGTGCCATTCAATTCACCGATTGTTTTTAAATAACAACTCCAAGCTATCAATTGAAAAAACTAGTTCCATAAATTGGTGCTCTGAGCCACGATGTGTTAGAGGCTGCTCAAAATGTCCCAAGGGCATGGTGCTCACATGGTGCAAAGGCATCAAGATGTTTTTTTCTCTTCAGTGTTCTCATGCCAAACTTTCATAAGATTATGAGAATTAAGGTAATATTACACACACAAAAAATGTGCTATTTAGTCTCCAATGTTTGCAATCACAGTCATTACTTACTCATACTATTGGCTACTGCACAAAATTATGATAAAAAGAATGGATCTTACAGAGCAAACAGATCACATAAGTGTAAATTTGAGTCACATAAGCAGAAATGTTAACTTTAAGAAAACTACTGGTTTCATGCTTAGAATCAAGATGTACTTCTGTACCTGCAGTTGTGGACCACAATAGAGATAATCTGATAACTCTGAATGTACTGAGCTCTTTAAGATATTGCAAATTTTATTTTGTAAACTGTGTTCATTATTTATTTATATAATTGTTTTCTTTTCTTTCCTTTTTTTTTTTTTTCAAACAGTGAAGAAAAAGGCACAAAAGTTCTTAGAACTATTTCAGTGTCTTGGAACATGAATTCTAAGGGGTTTACAGATTATTTTTGATGACCTGAATGTTTCTGAGGAGCACCTAAATAAGAATGTATAATGCAATAAAATAACTTTAACTGTTGAAAAGGAGACCATATAAAGAAAGAAAAAGCATATTTCATCTAAATTGTTCATAGGGCTTTTTATTCTGTCAAATATGACTGATACAATTTGACTGACATAAATTATTATTGATTTCCAGGCTCTGAGAAATCTTTTAGGCCCTGAAAAAAAGATTTTAACCCTTTTTGGGTTTTAAATATTATTTTTATATTATCTTTTACAGAAGGTTTTATGAAGTTATTCATCTCATAATAATGACTGTAGTTAAACAGTACATTTACAGAAGATGACAAGGAACTGCCTCATCAGAAAGACTTTTATGTCCAGAAGTAAGGCCCAAATCTTTGCTATATATATCAAATGTCAGTAAAAGTTCAATTTAACACAGATAAGTGAATGCATTTGATAGAATTTTTGTCAGGAAAAGCTAAATAATCGAAAATATTTAGGTTCATAGACCTTGTAATGACTTACAAAAAGGTGTGATTAAAAGGATCTCCAAAGATTACCTTCTCCAAAGCTTTTTGCATATGCAGACTCCTTTATTCAGGACTGTAAAGGTATCATGAAGGGATGCTCACAACATAACGCAACGCTTTTATTTAATCCGTAATGAATCACATCATAACCTGCTCTAGCAATTAATATTCAATAGACTGGCAGACACGTAGGCACCAGGCTCTGGATTACTTGCATGTGTGGACTATTTTCTGTGAGACAACTGAGTATTGCTTGTTCCTCTTTGAAGTCATGTGGGAGGAAAAGCAAGTTGAAGCATCAGTGCAAGCATTCCTTCCCAAGGAAAGTCATTAACACATCTGGTCTGTTACCTACAAAACTTGGGAATTAATTGAACAAATATACACAAAGATGTAATGTGTTTGAAGAGATAGGGTCTTTAAGCTCTAAAATTGGTCACGTTTAGCTTTATTCCTTCTACAAGAGAATAGTAACTTGAAGTTCATGTCAGTCTAGTGACCTATGAAAATCCATGGGAACTTTTCCATTGACTTCATTGTATCTTGGATGGGTCCTCTCTTACTCTGATTATAAAAGTACACAAACTTTTAAACATTGCTGTGAAGCAGCATCTTCTGTACATAAATTCTGTAATGGCAAACCCAACATTTATAGTAGATATTAAAGGCAATGGCTGACAATATGTAACCCATGTAAGACAAAAAAACCCTGTAGATCAAAATAAGAATTTCAGAAGAAAATCTGTGCTCCAGAAGGAAATTTGGCCATCGAACTAGAAATCAGCAGAGATAGGGTTAAATACAACTTATGTTACTCTTTGAAACATCAATGCATGACATTTCACAGCAGTTAGTATGCCCAGATGCCCCCAGGGCTCAGCTCGTCCCTCCTCCATTCTCCACTGCGCTTTGAACAGTAAGACACCGCTAACAGGCAGCTAGCCCATGTGCTTTTGAGCCACTTTGCAGTAAAAAAGAGCAACACATGAGCTGGACTTACGTCAAATCCTTTCTGGAAATCTGAACATGTGACGTCCATTGAATTCCATTTTTGTCTCCTGTGGTAGTCTTATCTTCAAAGAAACCTAAGCAGATGGTGAAACTTGCCTTTCCTTTCTTAGAGGACATCAGTCTTTGCTCACACTGTGTATTTCTAAGTGTTTTTCCTGTTTTGATCTCTGAGAAAGACTTTGTAAGACACTTCCTGCAAGTGAAGTTTAACGACATTCTCAGATATGTTCTCTTTTGTTAGTCTATGGCTCCGTGATAACTACCTGAACCTACTGAACTTCAACTAAGACATCTTGAAAAAGTAATACATACAGAAGCTTCCCTGCAACTCTGGTCCTAAATCTCAGCTCACCATGGGTAAATAATAATGACTTCCATTTATAAGAGCACTTTTAAGCCCTAAGATCCCAAAGGTTTTGCAAACTATTGTCCTGATTCTTCAGTCATCTATTTCAACAGGTAGAGGACAAAGTTCTACTGCCACAGATGGTAACTTCTGGAATTGCAGAAGTCACAGACGGGACAAAATTTTTCAGGTACAAAGTAGAATAAAATATATGGTTAGGAATAAATTCATGTTGTCATCATTTTAGAAAATTCTGGTACAATTTGTTCAGCAATTCAAACATCTTGATTCAAACTACATTTTGACAGAAAAGTAGAAGTCAAGACTCCAACAACATTTAAACAGAACCCCAGTAGATTTTAAATGAGCATTAGTCCCTGAGCCTATTTTTATATGTATTTCCTATGGTTCATAAATGCATGATCAGTGTAGACTCTGTTCTATACTACTGAATTACTGTTACTACCTCAAAGAGTAATTACATATTCTTGTAATATTTTCTGTTCAGATACCACCCAGACCAAACACTTTTTAGTCTTTAAGAGTGCAAAACAATGCTGAAAGTTGTGCTTGATCATGCTATATTTGTTCCTGACAGCATAAGAACAATAATAGCAGTGAAATTTTCTAACAACTGCTTCCATATCTCTTTTGGAAGTAATAGTCTTTCAGGGGGTAATTTGTATTGTGTTTGTTTCTCTTCAGTCAAAAAACAAAAATTGTCTGTGTGGACTTAGGGTGAAATCAGTTTGTGGAGGAAAATGAATCCCTTTCTTTCAGGTACTATAAATAAGTGTATATTTTATGCCTGTGTTTTATATTATGCCATAACAATGTAATCTCTTACAGATATACCAGAGAAAATTCTG